ATAAGGCAGGGCAGGTGACTGAGGTGTCGGTGGGGGAAGCACTTCGGACAAAATGTCCATATTACAGAGGAGGAGGTGCTGGATGGCTTAAAACACATAAAGGTGGATAAATCCCCGGGACCTGATCAGGTATACCCTAGAACTCTATGGGAAGCAAGGGAAGAGATTGCTGGGCCCCTTGCTGAGATATTAGTGTCATCGAAAGACACAGGTGAGGTGCCGGAAGATTGGAGGTTGGCTAATGTGGTGCCACAAGAAAGGTGGTGAGGAAAAGTCAAGGAACTATAGACTGGTGAATCTGACATCAGTGGTGAGAAAGTTGTTGGAGGGAATCCTGAGGGACAAGATTTACATGTATTTGGAAAGGCAAGGACTGATTAGGGATAGTCAACATGGCTTTGTGGATGGGAAATCGTGTCTCACTAAACTGATTGACTTTTTTAAAGAAGTAATGAAGAGGATTGATGAGGGCAGAGTGGTGGACATGATTTATATGGACTTCAATAAGGCGTTCAGCAAGGTTCCTCATGGGAGACTGGTTAGCAGGGTTAAATCACATGGAATACAAGGAGAACGAGCCATTTGGATACAGAACTGGCTCAAAGGTAGAAGACAGTGGAGGAGGGTTGCTTTTCAGACTGGAGACCTGTGACCAGCGGTGTGCCACAAGGATCAGTGCTGGGTCCACTGTGTTTCGTCATTTATGTAAATGATTGGGATGTGAACATAGGAGGTATGGTTAGTAAGTTTGCAGATGACATCAAAATTGGAGGTGTAGTGGACAGCAAAGAAGGTTACCTCAGAGTACAACAGGATCTTGATCAGATGGGCTAATGGGCCAAGGAGTGATAAATGGAGTTTAATTTAGATAAATGTGAAGTGCTGCATTTTGGAAAGACAAATCACAGCAGGACTTACATAGTTAATGGTAAGGTCCTGGGGAGTATTACTGAGGAAAGACACCTTGGAGTACAGGTTCATAGTTCATTGAAAGTGGAGACCCAGGTAGACGGTGAAGAAGGCATTTGATATGTTTGCCTTTATTGGTCTGTGTATTGAGTACAGGAGTTGGGAGGTCATGTAGCGGCTGTACAGGACATTGGTTAGGCCAAGTCCGGAACACTGCATTCATTTCTGGTCTCCCTGCTATAGGAAAGATGTTGTGAAACTTGAAAGGATTCAGAAAAGATTTACAAGCATGTTGCCAGGGTTGGAGGGTTTGAGATTGGGGAGAGGTTAAATAAGCTGGGGCTATTTTCCTTGCAGCATCAGAGGCTGAGGGCTGATCTTATAGAGGTTTATAAAATCATGAAGGCATGGATAAGGTAAATAGACAAGGTCCTTTCCCCTGGTGAGGAGTCCAAAACTAGAGGGCATGGATTTAAAGTAAGAGGGCAAAGTGTTACATGGGAGTTGCCCTAAAAGGCAACTTTTTCACTCAGAGTGTGGTGCGTGTGTGGAATGAGGTGGCAGAGGAAGTGGTGAAGGCTGGTACAATTACAAGATTTAAAAGGAATCTGGATAGGTATGTGAATAGCAAGGGTTTAGAGGAATACGGGCCAAATGTTGGCAAATGAAACTAGATTTACTTAGAATATCTGGTCCACATGGACAAGTTGGACCAAAGGGTCTGTTTCCATGCTGTACATCACTATGACTCTAAATCCCTATATGTTTTTATCCCAACTGCCTTGTTTCATTCTCTTAACAAGCACATTAAATTGATAACCCATCACCCTAAATGAGATTCAGGGCAACTTTTTTCTCCCTATTCAACAAAGCAAAAAAACTTTTATTAAATCCTTGATTAAATCTGTCACAATTGCTGAATTACTCATCATTGAGGTACTGCCTTTGTCAATAATAAAACTCCAGAGACCTGAAATCAGTAATGAAAAATTTATTGTGTTATATAAGTACAATCAAGTCCCAACTCCTCTGTTTCCACTGCAGTGAGGTATCTTTTGTAAACTGATCAATGCAAAAGAATTCAGGCAGGCAAAGTATGGATATTATTGCAGTCAGATTCATATTGGATGGAGAGAATGGAAGATCACCTCGTGAATGAACCTTTATCCAGACACCACAGTTGGGTTTAGCAACTGACAAAGGAACAAGCTTCCAATAACTCTGAAATAGAGAGGAATAGATGTTTAGAATATGACTGTAATGATTCTTACTGCAAAGACATCTCTCTTTAGCTATGGGTTTTTCAATGTGTCTGCCACACAGGCAGTCAAAACCAAAAAATAGTCAAAAGTGGAGCAAGACAATGGGGAATGCATGGAACAGGGCTGAGACAGGACAGTGACTGTAAACACTAGAAGAGGTCAACAGGACAGTCTAAAGAATGTAGAGGCTAGTTGTAGCAAATGTTAAAGTAAGATTGGAGAGCAAAGGAAATAAAGAGCAAAATTAGACACAAGAAACAGATTAAAGACTTGGGAAGAGGAATGCAGAATAGAAATATGAGCAAATCAGAGTTTGGAGGCCTGAAGTAAGAAAAACTTAGAACTCAGTCAGAGATGGAGGGAGAATGGGATTAGAACAGAAGTGACGGAAAGTTAAGAGAAGTTGAAAATAATGAGAGCAAGAAAAGTTGAGAGCTGGGGAGAGAGAATTAAAGGACAGGGAAATTGTCAGGCTGGAGCTTGAATATTAACGGAGGACACCGTTACAATCAATAACACCAAGAGTTTGGGGCAGTTTGGAAAAGAAAGGAGCAAGGGCAAAAGGGGATGAAAGCAAACTTGAATGGTCAGAAGAAAAGGGAAGAGAATGAGAAAAAGAGAAAGGAAGAACTAAATCAACAGTGTGAAGTAACTGGTCAATGGACAAGATGCACTTTATTCTTAAATTGCTGTACATCACCTGTAAAGGCAGCCGAAGGATACATAATTGTAACTTCCAAAAGTGAAATGTGGTTGCTTATAAAGGAACGATTGACAAACGACAGAGGAATAGCAGTGAAATGGGACTATTTAGATAACTCAGAGACCTAGTACAAAGCTGCATCGAGGATTTGAACCTATGTCCCCAGATATTTCACCTGGACCTCAGGATTACTCACTCAGTGAGAGCATCTGCTTGTCCTGAGTTCCAAACCTACCCTTACTGAACAGAAGAGCTTGATCCAAACCTTGACATTCTCCATTTCAATGCAACCAATAAAAGAATTCCAAAACCATTTAAAGAAAAACACATTAATGATGTCCACTGCTCACAAATGATATTTACCAGGACTTTTGCAGGCATGGAGCCCTTTCAATGAGGCAATATAATCACTACCCAGGAAGCTCTTGTAGTCTTTTTTGGGGACTTCAATGAGGCACTGAGTAGAGTCCTTGAAAAGAAGGTCCTTTCCCGAAAATAAATCCGAGCTGAACAGGTTGAAATTGTTTTTTGAGGGTCCATCATTGATGTATTTCACCTGTAATACGAAAGAAATCTCATAATGTGATGAAACTTAGCACACTCCAAAGGTCTGTACATTAACTATATTTAGAACTGAATCACCTGCTGAAGGCAACCAAGGCCTGACAATAAATATTGCCTTTCCAGCATTACCACCACCCAAGACCATGTGAAGGAAGAGTTATGGACAGCACACTGCATTATGTATTGCAGAATGCACACTGCAGAATGTATTGTTACGGTTTCAGGTCAAACATAAGCAAGGAATCCCCATGCTGATTACTACGTATTGCCCTCCCTCAGCTAATGAATCTGTACTGCTACATGGTGATCATCATTGAGAGGAAGCACTGAGGGTGGAGAATGTATTCTGGGTAGGAAATCAACAAGAGTGGCTTGGTGGCACCACTACTGACCAAGCTGGCCAAGTCCTAAAGGACATAACTGCTCAATTGGGTCTGCGGAAACTGGTCGTGGAACCAACAGGAAAGAAAATGTATTTGACCTCATCGTCATTAATCTACTAGTCGCAGATGAATTTGTCCATGACTGTATCAATTTAGAATAACTACCGTACAATCCTTGTGGAGATGAAGTCCCATCTTCGCCTTGAGGATACAACTCCATGTTGCTGTGTTCAATTAGATATGTTTCAAGCAGATTTAGCAACTTGAGATTGGGCATCCATGAAGCATTGTGGGACATCAGGCAGAGTAGAATTGTATTTAATCACAGTCTATAACCTCATAGCCTGGCATCTTTCCCACTCTACCATTACCATCAAACCGAGGTACAGTGAAGAGTGTAAGAGGGCATGCCAAGAGCAATACCTAGCATACTTAAAATTAAGGTGTCAACCTGGTGAAGTCACAACATAGAACTACATACATTTTAAACAGCATAAACAACTAGCGATAGACAGAGCTAAGCGATCCTACAAATAATGGATCAGACGTAAACTCTCCAACCCTACCACATCCAGTTGTGAATGATGGACAACTAATAGGAGGGGAAGGTTCCAAAAAAATCCCAATTGTCAATGATGAGGGAGGAAAGCTCAGTAGTGCAAAAGATAAGGCTGAAATATTTGCAGCAATCTTTAGCCAGAAGTGGTGAGTGGACAATTCAGTTTAGCCTTCTGCTAAGGTCACCAGAAACAGAATGCCGGTCTTCAGCCAATTTGATGCACCCTACGTAATATTGAGAAGGTGCTGGATATTGCAAAGGCTATGGGTCCTGTCAATATTCTGGCAGAAAGCCCTGAAGACTTGTGCTCCAGATCCTGCCTCACACATACCCAAGCTGTACCTGTGCAGCTACAACACCGGCATCAACCCAGCAATGCAGAATATTGCTGTACACATAAAGCAGGACAAATCCAACCTGTCCAATTATTGCCCCACCAGTCTATTCTCATTCTTCAATAAAATGATGAAAGTTATCATCAACAGTGCTATCAAATAAAGCTTGCTTAGCAACAAACTGCTCACTGATGCTCAGTTTGAATTCTCCCAGGGCTTCCCAACTCTTGGCCTCATTACAGCCATGGTTCAAACATGGACATGAATTCAGGGGATGAGATGAGATTGACTAAAGGTAAAGATAAAGTCACCTTAGTCTTACCAGACCATTGGGCTGCTTTCTCATTAAAGAAAGAGGTGTGGGTCACCATACCTCAGGTTAGGGGAGATGTTGAGAAGGAGAGTCCTCTACAGTGACTTCAGCTGGTGCAGGAATTGAACCCATGCTGTTGGACTCACTCTGCTTTCCAAACCAACTTTTCAGACAACTGAGAATTGTAACTCATGTTACAGAACAAAAAAAAGTATTTGTTCAGCATGCAGCAGTAAACAATGAATACACAGATGGAACAGGAACAGAAATGATGGAAATATTCAGCAAATGAAACATCATAGCTTTAAAAATTGCGAAGGCGCTATTTGATATGCATCTGAGTGAGCATACTGGATGTGTGTTTAACATCTCAGTTAAAAGAAGACCCCAGGAGCAAATATGAGATGACGTTCTAAAAGGTTAGTTTATAAGTTGCCATAGTCCCAGAGGACTATGGAGCGGCACGGTGGCTCAGTGGTTAGCACTGCTGCCTCACAGCGCCAGGGATCCAGGTTCGATTCCACCCTCGGGCAACTGTCTGTGTGGAGTTTGCACATTCTCCCCGTGTCCGCACGGGTTTCCTCCGGGTGCTCCGGTTTCCTCCCACAGTCCAAAACTGTGCAAGCTAGGTGGATTGGCCATGCTAAATTGCCTGTAGTGTTCAGGGTCTGGGTGGGATGCTCTGTGGGTTGGTGTGGACTTGTTGGGCCAAAGGGTCTGTTTCCACAATGTAGGGATTCTATGAGGATCATACAGCTGCTTTCCCATCAGAGACAGACAATTGGTGGGCATTAACGTGCGGGTCACCAGGGCTCAGGTGAGAGGAGAGGTTGAGAAGGAGGAACCTTCATGTGAACCTCAGTCAATGCAAGAACTGAACCTTGTGCTGTTGGTGTCACTTTGAATTGCAAGCCAACTGAGATAACCAACTTCTAAAAGGTTGGATTATACACTGGATGCAAGTAAGCTTTTCTGCTTGGCAAAGTCTATGAAGAAAAGGGGCCACAGATGCAAATCAATGACAATTGAATTAAACAGAAAATAAAAGGGGATTTTGTTTTACTTTATAGGTGGTATGTGAAATTAATTATCTGCAGATAGCTGATAGAACAAGGATGTGACGGAGGAACTAGATTTCAGCAAACACATCCGTGATTAATGAAAGCACATCGAGACTATACTGTAACTAGGTATGTTAGAAAAAAACAGATTATTCCCCTGCCCTAAAATAATAAATATGTTAACAACGGGAAGAGCCATAAAATAGAGACATTGAAAGCAAATGGAATGTACCCCAGTGCAGTTCACATTCTGGGATTAAATTGAATTTTGACTCAACACTATCACCAGACAGGTTGGGTTAAACAGACAAAAAAAAATTTGTGATGTGCTCCCACTTTAAGAAGTCGGGTGGTGGTTCTTGGTTAAAGATTGCTGACACAGTGAACCAACTGGAGGTACAAAATCCTAAAGAAGGGATCATAGAACAGCTCTCACTTTTCCTTTCTTTCCATATAAGTCAGTCTCCAATAGCCTGAGCATAAAATCAAATCATCAGCAGATAGTGGTTTGAATTAACAGTTGGTCGGTGTTCTGAAGAAAAGAATGATGGCCAAGTCATGCTGCAGACCTGCAATTTTGGACAAGGTCCTTTATCATCGGTCACTATTCACCGGCGAAGATTTGTATTTTGCAGGGCCAAGCAATAAAAAAGCATCAACACACTGACCTGTTCAGCTTTCAGCAGACTGACAACTTTATTTTCCATGCCTGGTCGTGTCATAACAGCATGTGCTGGCACTTCAGCCAGGTTACAGGTCAAGTAATCAGTGACAGGTGCTATTGCGCCATCCTTGCACAGGAGATGATAGTTCCGAGATTGCAGATTCTGATTCCAATCGAGTTGTCCGTTCCCTGCGAGTGAAAATGATTCCAATCATTATTATTGCCAACTTGTCTCCCACAATTCAACCAGGCCTGTCTTCTGGTTTTTGAGACATGGCAAGGCATTATTACCCTAATCTGGACAACAGGTGACAACTTATTGGTGAACACACATTGCGACATTGACAAAACTAACTGACAAGAGGATGGTAGCTTTTCTTAGATAACAAGGTGTAGAGCTGGATGAACACAGCAGGCCAAGCAGCATCAGAGGAGCAGGAAGGCTGACGTTTCCGGCCTAGACCCTTCATCAGAAATTTCTGAAGAGGGGCCTAGGCCCGAAACATCAGCCTCCCTGCTCCTCTGATGCTGCTTGGCCTGCTGTGTTCATCCAGCTCTACACCTTGTTATCTCAGATTCTCCAGCATCTGCAGTTCCTACTATCTCTGGTAGCTTTTCTTGTTGACTTAAGCATTTACAATTGGTGAGTGAAGCATGTATGATGATACAAGGAAATTTCAACACCAGATGGATGTACTTTAATGTTCCTTTAGAAAAGGAGATGTAACTATTTTATATAGACCCCCACCACATATGAAACCATCAGACTGGATTTCAAATCGAAATGCATTGCTAGATGGGTCTTCCGTTTAGATCAGCAGTCAAGCTGAAGGCAAAACGTGCTTGCTTTGGACTCGAGGTAAGAATATCTCTGTCATTCCAGCTTTCACAAAGACATATGCCTCTTTCAACGAACCTTGGCTCCAGAGACGTGTTGCTGCCCCAAAGGCTAAAGATTCTCTCAATCTCCTTCAAATCCCATGTTCTAAAACAGAGCAAGCCCACTTCAAGTTATATTGTGTTCAGGGAGTGCTACTCCTCATGTCATCAGCAGATGCAACACTCGGCAGTTACAGAAGTTGAAAGCATCAGATTTTCACAGTCCAGTCCAACACAATTCAAATTTATGGAGAAAGTTACACATACCATCAGTGTTCTCAGGTACGGTGGTATGTTTGATGAAAGCAATGTCACCTACTTCTGTCAAGCACCTGAAGAAGATTTAAGTTAAATTCAGAAAGCACAATGACAAAAAATAGCTACATTCAATTTCCTCCAATTTTCTCTGTTCGCCAGCAAAGCATTGACTATTGATCCACGATTACTGGCACACTGCCCATGTACTTAAGCTAAGGTGTCAAGTATCAGAAGACTATTCGTCCATGTGATTAGTCACAGTTGAATCGAAACTTATCTTTAGCCCTGTTCACTCAGCAAAAGGTGCTGACCACTGATCAGAAGTAGAAAGTCTGACTGAAATTTTGCCTTCCTCACCATCAACTCTCCTAATGTGAGACAGCCACTGAACTTCCAACGGGAGCAGTCACTTAACTATCGGAAATCAGATGTCTGCCCAATTTGTTGGCTTGGGAGGGAGAGTGTGGATTTCATGCTGGTTCCAAGAAAAAGATATCTGACGGCAAAGTGGTTCAGGAGGACATGTGATGCACAGGTCTTGGGGCTGAGAGAAAATGCTTTTGAGAACAAAAGTCCAGACTTGTACTGCCGAGTCCTGCTCCTTCCAACCCCCAAAAGCAAAGTTCTTTTTAAAAACTTATCACAGATAGCCTTGCTGGTTTTCTGATAGTTTTACAGGTCAAGTCAATGGGCTCGTACTTAAAGAAGCCTGCAGCTAAAATTCATACAAATGCAAAGAGCATGTACAATGGAGGAAGTTATGGGCTTATTCGGCCAAATGTCAAGACCAAGCTGATCGAGAAAAAGGCAGGAAAATGGAAGAAATACAATAACTCCAAGTTAATCTCTTTGAATATGAATGTTCAGCACTCTTGCATGTAAGAGTAATGATGTGGAGATTCCAGCGTCAGACTGGGGTTGACAAGGTCAGAAGCACTGCTCCTTCGTCAGGCGAAGTGAGCAGTGAAGGAGCAGCGCTCCGAAGGCTTGTGATTTCACATAAACCTGTTGGAAATAATCTGGTGTTGTGAGACTTCTGACCATATAAGAGCAGGACAGGGCATAAAAAGGTGAGGTATAAAGGAATTGAAATTGGCCGAACAAGGAGAGTTCAGGTGGAATATTTGAGATGCCAAGAAACAAGGGCACTCCTCGAAGAGTAAATAAATCAAAACTAAAAACAGTTGTTTTAGTTGTTGGATTATAGCAATCGAATAATTTAAGCAACAAAGTGAAAAGTTTCGAGCAAACAAAGTAACATGTTCTCACTGATATTGCACAGTACAGCTCAAACCAGATTAGGATTCCATATTGTACCTGAAGGCTCCACTGTAGCTGAAGTATCGTTCGTTGTTGTTAGCCACACATTTGCTTTCTGCATCCAGGGCCTTTCCAGTACCAACACACAGGGAGCACAGGTTGGGGTAAGTAGTCTTATCTGCCCCAGGAGCACAGCTTGAACCGAAATAGGTTGCTTTGTTCAAAAAAGAAAACATATAAATTATGCTTTTTCTAAGAAAATTAATATCTGCCTCTCAGTTGCAGTCTGAATCCAGACTGTGGTCTAAAATTAGCCAGCTGTACTCAGCTGAGGAGGGAATGAGGGCCCAAAGTGAGGTATAAGATTACAGAGCAAAAGGGGTCATCAGGGTGGGAACAGAAATTTGTGGAGGAATCCAGATTAATCAGTCTTCACCTCCTGTTATGTTGCAATTGAATTTGGCCTTATTGCAGGGTTGTGTGGTTGGATTACCCAGGTAATTCACCCAGATTGTTTAAGCTTCTTAGCTATCTTTCCCAGAAAAGCAAGGGACCATTCTGAGTTTCACTTTTTCATCAAAGTAACTTCTTTATCATGCTACATGAGGACTGGGACAGTCAGTCTAACTAATAAAACCAAATAAAAGATGTTGCCGTCGGAATCCTATTTAGTATAGATTTTAGTGACACCTGCCTTTTCATGGGATATTTGGAACAGTCCTCCTCAGTCAGGTGTATTGAAAATTTCATGGTACATTTTGTGATCCTGGGGCTCCCACACACATATGTAGCAGAGAGACAGTGTGCTAGGCAAAGTGAATAAAACATCCATGTGAACTATTTGTTCAGTTCTAATTCTAAATGTCTTCAACTAATATCATTCAGTCCCAAGATCCGTAGACTCAGGTCCCCCAATTTTCTCCCTCCTAATCTTTCTTTGCAGTATCTTAATGATTGTATTGGTGTAATTCACTAACGTGGCCATTAATTCGAATTTGTTTTTATCAATTTTGCTTTCAAAAGCCATTCTATCCTCATTTTCTTGGTCCATCTTCAACTCTTACTTTACATTTCCCAGCTTCTCTGCCACCGTTTCTATGGATAGGCCGTCAAATAATATTTGCTACAAGTCCATTGTCTCTGTCAACTACCTGGATTACATTTCCTCCACTGCACATCTCCACAAGCCTTCTATTCCATAATTCAAGTTGCTAGTCTTTCATCCCAACTGTTCTGACAGATTGAATCAGTTTCAATTTGCCCAAGGTTTTTCTCCTGCTGTGTCAAATATGACAGCAGGGAAGCAGAAAGATTAACAGATCTGTGGTCTCAATACTTTGTGAATCTGTGGACCCTCACAAACCTCACATTCTAGATGCTCAGCAGCATAATGCCTCCAGCTTGTAAACTGGGAATAGATCTTTACTGTATAAATGAGAAGGTCAGCATTATTAAAGCTCCTTATGAAAAGTTCTCTGCCCTTCTTACACTTTTGCCTCATGGATTTTGTATCACTCATGTGCTGCCTTTCCCTTTGATCTCATGTTTTTCTGCTCTAGAACCTAGCTGACAAGTTTCTCTCAACTGCTGTAACCGGGTAGGAGGATACTGTACTGATCTTCTACAGAATTCTACAGTACTACAGTACAGTACAGATTCTGTCTCCCAGGTCATTTAATGCAACAAATACTAGGTAAGAAACTGTGCAAGATGCATAGAGAGCAAAGGATGGAAAACAGATAGATTAAAGAGGTAGGGGAAGTGGAAAACAGAAGAGAAAGAGACAGACATTGACATGGAGAGAAGACAATTTAACCCTTATGCAATTTAACAGAAGTATTACCTTGCACAATTAAATATTTCACAAGGGCAGAGAAACATGAAAGCATACTTACAATTATAAACATCACAAGCTTTGATTATATTTCTGTTAATCAAGAATCCCATGGGAACGTTCCAGCCAGCAGTTCGCCCAACAGCTGTGTGACAGGACTTCTTCCCTTTCAGCGTCATCCAGTTCAGGCTAGAATCCTTTACAACCGCCAAGGCATAGTAAGAGGCTGTGAGAGAATACACACAATGTAACATTCCCAGTGGAAAAATGAATCAATATTTAAAGCAGAGCAGGATTCAGGACAGTGGACGATCAGCAGAGTAGTGTGTCGGTTGTAGATTATTCCAGTATTGAGCTGTCAGAGATCTGATGGGCTGGACGATTTTCTCTTTGCTTTGAGCTTCTTTGTTTTATCATTCTATCAAAGCCAATTCCTTGCAGGATCAGTTTCCTCTGAGCCAGAAGGTTGCGGACCAAACTCCAATTCCAATCTTGGTCAAGTAATCTCGTTTGACTCTCTGGCACAGTACTCAGAGACTAGCTGAACTGTTATTGCAGAATTAGAGGCCATTATTTCCATTGATTTCTTCTTACTGTCTGACCTTGGTGTACCTCTAATTCATATAGCATTGGGTTCAGGAAGAGAGAACAGGAGATCACAGAGTGGGGAGCTAATCTATCTGTAAGAGTGAGGAAAGATTAGGTTGCATTCACAACCTTTATGCTGCTGGCAAAACCTCTTCAAAACAAACATTTCTTCAAAATTGATGCAAGTGATTGCACAGTCATTCTGGTCCTGTAGAATTGTGATGTTGCTACATTGCCACCATGAGGTGTTCATTCTGAGGTAACAATGCAGCAGTGTTTTATTCGTGTTAATTACACAAATTGAGGACGATTTGTTTGGCTAATATGTACTTTTAACACTTACGTATTTTTGTACTTGATGCTGATGTGCACGGGCCACGATTTTCTACAGAGAGAAAGGAAAAGGCATAATTTTAATACAATGCAATCACAAGATAATAATTTGCAGCACGTATAAGCTTTTGTGCCTGAAATGAATCCTTCCCAGCTCAGTCATATCATGTGCACTCAAAAGTAAAACACCAACTCCAGACACCTACAAGCATATCAAGTCAAGTATCCTTCATCCTGATAACACTGTATGCAGCTAGTCAAGGTCACAGAGCTTCACCTGCAATCACACTATACACATAAGCAATGAATAATGGACTGAAGCCATATGGCTTGAGAAAGTCATGTGGCAGAATTTCCAATTCCTTAATATTTTAGTAGCCTCCTAATTTTTGGGTATATCCTATAATATGAATTGTGGTTTTATGTCTATTTTTTAATGCAGTGCTCCTGAAACTCTGAATTATATCATAATAGTCCTGTAAATGGGATGTGGGATTCAATAATTCACAGAGCCTCACCAGTTCAATTAACAACTTTAAACACACAAATGAGATGGATAAGTTGCTTAGAATGAGTAAAACCCAACCAGATGTTTTGAATATAAGCCCAGACTCACACTGACAATGACATCAGAGGAGATCCATCTCACTCAGCAATCACACATGGTATAAGCTATTATTCTTCATGACGAAGTTCCCAAATGGAATGAGATTGGCTGGATTGTTTGGGATGGAGAAGCAATTTACTCATATCATTTCCACACAAAAATTCATGCCATATTTTAATTAAGCCTAAGATTCATGCACGGAACAGAGCAATTTAAAGCTTTTGCATAACACTTACTTTTGTCATAATACTCTGCCATGACTGGGACGAGGCCACATTTTCCTCCAACGTACACTTGCCCACCATCAAGACTTATTGCATCAGCAACACCAGACTGCAACCAGAGAATTTATACAGTGTGTTTGTCACTCTGGCTCTCTTTTTCACTCAATTTGTCCATTTTTTTTTCCTCAGAGCATAAATATACCTTTCTCTTCATATTTGTACCTGGTACATGAAGCAATCTTTTGTGGGCACTCATCAAAAGTTACACCAATTTCTCCTGTGTTAACGTTGTAGATGTAGTTAAATAATGATTTGTCCAGATCTGCCAAGATGTCTCTTGCTTCAGCTTAGTTATCAGAAATTGAAACTATTTGAAGACTGCACAGAAGCTACAACAACTTTTACAAGCTGCTTGTATCAAAATTATTGGACCAGTTTTAAAAGAAAGTCTATCTGGGAAACAGTGAGCATACCATAATTGAATTGATGTCAGCCTCCTAGGGAATGAGGAAGCAAAACTAGAGGGGTGTTGATTTTGAAGGAGTGAGGAAGCAGTTAACAGTTCTGAAGAAGACCATGTTAAACTCAAAACATTAACTCTGTTCTCTCTCCACAGATTTGATAAAAAGAAAAGAAAAGCTGTGCTTTTACACAGCTTTCAGCAAGGCTTTGGATACAGTGTCATATGAGAGATTGATCTATAAAACAGTTATGCATAAATGATGGGCCAAATCATCCAGGCCTGCAAGAGCTCAGGAAGGAGGTGACAGACCATGGACGTGAGATAGGTTGTCATCTGATGTATCTCTCCTTTTACCAGTTCTGATTCCCTTGAATCTGAGATCTCTTTCAGATTCCCATCTTCCTGCCAATCTCATGTAAACCATCCCTGTGGCACCACAAAATCTCCCTTTACAAGTTCCACCTGACCCAGATACAGAACCAATGCCTCTGAATTATGATACGTCCTTCCTATATCAATTCTCCATCCATGTATATCGTTGTCCAATTTTAATCCTCACTAGCAGATGGGAATGTAAGTAATCCTGAGATGACTACTTTAGAACTCCTGCTTTTCAAACTCATTACTAGCTTCTTGAAATCTACTTCAGAGACCTTATCCTCCTTCCTAGCCAAGTCGATGATATAGATATGGATCACAACTTCTGGCCAATCACCATTCCCTAGAATATTGTGTTGGAGCTAGTCCATAACATCCTTGACCTAGACACCAAGGAGGTAACACAGCAATACCTACAGCCCGCAGAAATGCCTATCTGTTCCCTGATTAACAAATCACCCCATCAATATTGATCTTCTCTTCTTCTTCCTCCCTTCTGTATATCTGAGTTATCCATGGTGCCATAAACAGAGTTCTGACTGCATTCCTCTGAGGAACCAATACCCTTGTCATTATCTGAAGCAGAAAGCTCTTTATTGAGCAGGACCTCAGGGGACTCCTGTAAAATCTACCTCGTTCTCTTGGACTGCCTAGTGGTCCCCTCTCAACTTTCACGCTACAAGCCTGTGGCACAAACACCTTTCTGAACTGCTCGTGACACTTCCTGTCTATGTGGTGACCTAGATTACCAGTAGTTTCCATAACCTTCCACATCCACAAGCATCCACTCCCTCCACCACTGACACTTCGTAGCAGCAGTGTGCAGTGTCTACAAGATGCACCAAAGATCCTCTGACAGCACCTTCCAAACTCACGGTCACTTCCATCGAGAAGGACAAGGACAACAGATATATGGGAACACCATCACCTTCAAGGTCCCCTCCAAGCCACTCACCATCCTGACGTGGAAATATATCACCAATCTTTCACTGTTGCTGGGTCAAAATCCTGGAAGTCCCTCCCTAATGGTTCAGAAAGTGTTTGTTCCACATGCTTGTAGCATACCCTCTGGGTAAATATGTTTTCTTTCTGTGAATTCACTCTTAAATTTTAGATAACCAATAAAAAATCCAAGACTCCTTGTTCTGGTCTTACTCAAGGTGAAACATCTTTTCTATGTTACCCCTTTCAAAATCTTTCATTATTTTATAAAGCTGTACCAGGTCACCTCTCAGTGTGATCCTTTGTAGAGAAAGGGCTTCTTTCCCACTAATTATAATCTATCAGTTCTGACAAAAATTTTAGTTATGTTTTTTGCTCCTGCACCAGTTCCTCAGCATTGAAGGAATATACAGTACTCTGTATCTAAGCAGTTTCTGGCATGGGAGTAGCGGAACTGTGTCAAGGAATCTTTACAATGCAGCAATTCCATGTTGTATTTGAACTAGGGCAAAAGAAAATGGTATCATGTTCCATTGTTAACCTTAACTTGATGAATGTGAGAAAAGGTTTTGTGAAATACTGTTGTCATTTACCATAATCTGTTTGATGCAGTCCTCAGCGTCGTTGCCTGAGACACAGTTTACTGCTGTCCACATGTCACACTTATTCTTTTCAAGGTCCCCAGTTGTACACCAACGTATCTTCGTACTCAAGCTACTGGACTCTGCAACACAAAATGTTTGAATTGTTTGTTAACCTCCTGTCACTGTAATTTGTGGACTAGTCAGCCTTTCAATCTGTAAGTTCTTATAGCAACATACAGCACAAATTCTCAAACTCTCAAGTTCAGTCACTATGCAGTGAAGGAATAGGAGCTATCGTTGTCTCACAATCTTGCAGCATCAGTGGAAAGAGAAGAACAGACCTAATGTTTCAAGTCAAATATTGCTCCTCTTTAGTCTTGAGGTAATTCATACACCTGAAAGGTTAGATATGCTGTCTCCACTTAAAGTAGATAAGACATGAGCACTGAAGGAAATGCATCCAAGGATACTGAGGCAAGGGAGGGTGGAAATTGCAGACATCATCATAATTTTTCAGTCTTCCTGAGACTCAGGGGTGGTACCACAACTTGGTGAATCACAAATATTACACTCTTGTTCAAAAAGCCAGTCAATTTATTTTCACAGGTGGAGAAATTATTGAAACAATAATTAAGGTCAAAATTAATAGGCAAATGGACAAATATGAGCTAATTGAAGAAATCCAGCATGGATTCCAACATGGATTTCTTCAAATGCAGCATGGATTTCTTAAGGGAAAGCCCATGTTTAACTAACATGCTGCAGTATTTTGAAGAGGTGGCCATGAGAGCTGTTGAGTGCACTGCACTTGATATGATGTACATGGACTTGCAAAAGGTGCTTTATATTCTATCATACAGCAGACTTATGGGCAATGTTACAGCTCAAGGAATAAAAGAGACATTAAAAACCTGGATACAGAGTTGGCTGAGTGACAGGAAGTAAAGAGAAGTGGTTAATGGATGTTTTTCAGTCCTAGAAAGATGTGTAGTGTTGCTCCCCAGACTTGGGGATGGTCAGTCACTGATCTTCCTGATACAAAAACAATTCTAGACCTTGGCTTGTGGGGTACAATTTCAAAGTTTGCAGATGATACAAAATATGGAAGCAATGTGAAGTGTAAGAATAGTATGGAACTTCATTAAGGACATACACAAGTTTGTGGAAGGGATGGTGAGATGGCAGACAAAGTTCGATGCGGAGAAGTGTAAAATGATTCATTTTGGTAGGAAGAGCACGGAGAGCTAATATAAAATGAAGGGCAGATCATTGAAGGGGATGCAGGAACTGAGAAACTTTGGTGTATATGTGCATAAGTCCTTGGAGGTAGCAAGACAGATTGATAGCAGATACTAAGACATATTAGACCCTCCTAATGGGCATAGAGTAAGAAGGTTTTGTTGAACATTGTTTTGGCCTCAACTAGAGCACTGACACCAATTCTGGGTGGCGTGCTTTAGGAAGGGCTTCAGGGATGGATGGGGCCATGAAGGGGGCATATAGGAAATGACAGCTTTAGAGAATGCATTGACATGGGGAATTTGGAGGATGCATGGGGGCTTTGGAGTTAAGGGTGGTGAGGAGGGTTGAGTGGTGAGAGCCAGGAGACCTAACAACCTGGTAGAGAACTAGCAGACAGAGGGAGGCTTTCTAACTTGCCTGCCTCAACATCCACCTGCCTCGTTGGGCCTTTTCAGAAGGTGGTGACTGTGCCCAGTCTGACCGAACTCTGGAAGATGAAAGATCTGTATGGATAGGCTGCCTTTCAGCAGTCAGGCTGCGATATTGGGAAATGCCCTTACTTGGGATGCCTGTCTTGAGGATGAAAATGCAGATCCTAATTGTCAAGAATTTGCACCATTTGTGTGTTCAGAATTGACCAGAGATGGTACAATGGTGTTACAAACAACCCACAGTTTATATGCAAGTATATATACTTATGTGCAATATTTACAAGCTAATACACAGCTTTGTGTTTGTTTTATATACAGGGGAAAGGTTGCATCATGTTATAAGCAGGATAACAACTAGAATAGTACAGAATTTATTTCTATGCAATCTATTTCAAACAAGATAATACTGTACATCCTTCTTTTCAGCTTCTTATATTCAAACACGATATTGCCATCTCTCCCTGCATTGGTGAAGCTTGAGATCGGAATTTGAATGAAGAAATGGTATTGTCCCAATCATCTCACTTAGGGAAGGGGAACAATTTAAAGAACACAATATGACTATAAACTGAAGACAGATCTCTGTTAAGTGCATATAAGGATTATTAAAGGCAGTTTTAAAAATCCAGTTCTGTTCCCCCATCCAAAAAATATCTCCAGCTTTTATTTTCAGTATAAAGAAGTGGCAGAAAAAATATCAGTAGAAAATAACTGGACTCCAAAACTTTCAACAATTAGAATAAAATTTTGTTTGTCATTTATATAAATGATTGCAATGAGAATATAGGAGGCATGGTTAGTAAGTTTGTGGAAAACACCAAAATTGAAAGTATGATGGGCAGTGAAGAAGGTTATGTAAAATTACGAGGAGATCTTGATCAACTGGATCAATGAGCCGAGGAGTGGCAGATGGAGTTTAATTTGGATAAATACGAGATATTGTATTTTGGTAAAACAAAGGCAGGACTTATACAATTAATGGTAGGGCTCTGCATAGTGTTGTAGACAGAGAGGCCTAGAGGTTCATAATTCTTTGAAATTTGCATCATAGGTAGACAGGGTAGGTAAGAAGGCATTTAGCATGCTTGCCTTCATTACTCGAGATCTTTGAGTATAGGAGTTTAGATGTCACGTTGAGGTTGTACAGGATGTTTGTGAGGCTTCTTCTGGAGTACTGTGTGCTGTTCCGGTAGCCCTGTTATAGGAAGGATATTATTAAACTGGAGCAGGTTCAGAAAAGATTTACCAGAATGTTGCTGGAAATGGAGGGTTTGAGTTATAAACGTAGACTGGGACTTTTTTCACTGGAGTGTAGGAGATTGAGGGGTGACCTTATAGAGGTATATAAAATCATGACAGGCTTAGATAAGATGAATAGGAAAGGTCTTTTCCCTAAGGTGGGGAGTATAAAACTAGGGAGCATATTTTTAAGGCGAGAGGAGAAAAATTTAAAAGAACATGAGGGGCAACGTTTTTAAACGTGTGTAAAATTTCATGCGTGGAATGAACTGCTAGAGGAAATGGTAGATGCAGGTACAGTTACAATGTTTAAAAGTCATTTGGATAAGTATATAAATGGGAAAGGTTTGGAGGATATGGGCCAAATGCAGGCAGGTATGACTAGTTTAGTTTGGGAAATTAGTTGCTGTGGACAAGTTGGACTGAAGGGTTTGTTTCCATGCTGTGACTCGATGACTCTATGACTATGGCTCTTAAAATCAAAAGTTACTTTTGTGAAAGTCATTGAAGCTCAGAAGCAAGTGAGAGACTGTAAAATAGTCTAATCATGGTGAATGAAAATGCACACTTAATTTTGCCATTCATGGATACTACTTTAAATTATCTCATATAATCAGACATCCATTTAACTCCTTGGTCAGTTTAAAAAGAATTGAAAACAAGATTGAAGAACCAATATTTATTGTGTGGTTTATTCACTTTATTGCCACTGGCATAAAGGAGTAAAAATAACCGTTAAAGATTATTACCACTCCTTGTTGATCACAATTTTGCATCAGCGTTGTGGATGGAATCCCAAAACAATTTTGCACTGGATGAATTAATCAGAAAGCTATTAATTGTCCCCACAGAAATTAATTACAGTCAAGGGTCACTAGAGGCTAATATTTGATGTTGGCTCCTCTGAATGAGCATCAAAAAATCTCCAATAGAGTTAGAAAGCTAACCAGGGGTGCTCAACAGAAAGGTTCAAAAATGTCACACAGAAAATCCTGATATGAAATTCAATCAAGAGGAGGAACAAAGGTGGTTCAATGCCAGCCAGTTATCAGTTACATTTAATTCTCACCAAAACATTTTCTTACCTTTGGTAATGGTTTTCAGAGCATTTACATATTTGGTGCCGAGGTACAGAAGGTAATCAGTTGCTTTGGGAAGGTGAATCAGTTCTTCTGTCGCGTCTTTAAACAGCAAGTCCTTACGTCCATACTTTGATGAACTGAAAAGTTTAAATTCTCCCCGACTTTGTGGCCCAAATCTTTTCTGTAAAATATGACATTAGGAAACCCAGAAGTGTTAATGAAGCCACGTCAGTCTTGAGGATTAAACAATGCTTTCCAAACTAGAAACTAGCAATTATCTTCCAAGTTACTAACTTGCCTGGAACATTAGATACGAAATCTCAACCATCACAGTGGTAGGAACACTACACCCTGACATTTTCAATGTTATAATTGACACCAGCACATAGATATTCTCTATGAAGACCTTATTGCAAACCCAACCCTGTTACAAGAGTCGAACATTCCCTGAATGAATGCACACAAATCTGACTCATGCTTCTTTGTGGAGAGCATTTTCTCATGTCTGAAACCTTTGTAGCAGCAAAAACTTTTAACAAACTTTTAGAAACTGTTTGAAGCTCAATATAAAGGGCAGCTGACCTGCACCAAAAAGCTGTATGTTTATTGTAGAAAAGTTATTCTATGTGATTATTTCTTATGGCATTAGCAAACCGCTTACAAGAATATAAGAGCAATTGCCCTGTGGTGATCTGCCTGTATATTTTGTTTCAGCTTCATTTGAGCACAAGTCATCTTGCTTAGGGAGCATTTGGATTTACTGGAGAGTGAGCGAGTTATGTTTTCCAGTCTGGGTTCTGATCAGGCACACTTTGGGTTGACAAAAATAATCTCCTGTCTCTGAAACCTAAATGAGGACCATACGAATTGAGCACAGATATTTTCAGCCCACTTCTTGGTGAATGGGTAGGTGTATGTACATAACATAAATTATCCTAAAGTTTCTGAAATCAGTGTCCACAAGTCCCATTTGGCAAGATGTATCTGTTTCTCCTGCCCTTAAAATAAACACCTGGAAAACAACCTCAAACTGCAAAGATAGTTTTATGAACAACTGTCTAATACATAATCCCAGCAGGTTATGAATGATAGTTGAATTGTGAATTTGGAGTTATATTTTATCTCAGGTGCAAATCAAAGTTAGTTTGTCTATCAAGGCTATCCCATATTGTCATAGTGCGGCAGAACATCATTACCTTCACTGTCTCCTATGTCGTCTGGGAGAAGAACCAACAAAAACAGAAAAAGAACCCTATGTCAATTCAGAGGGAGAAAATTCATTTCCAATAACAGAAGCATTTCACTTTGCCTTTGGAATTCAGCTCTTTTATCCACATTATGATAAAGCTGTAGATTTGGAGCTGAGTGGCCCCGATGGAATTCAAACTAAGGATTTGTGAGCAGTTATTAGTGAATAAGTGGGAAAAATTGCCTCGTCGCAATCCTAAAGCTTACTTGTACACAAACACAAGATATTTATCCTGAGGCACCCTACAACCAATGGGGTACTTTGTGGAAGTATTGCAATGTAGTGGCACCCAGTTTGCACACAGCAAGGTCACACAAACTGCAATGAGGCAATGATCAGAACATTGGTTTTAGTGATGTTTTTATTCAGTCATGGGATGTGGGCATTGCTGGTTAAGACAGTATTTATTGTGCACCTGCGGTGAAATTGAACCGCTGCAGACTTAAGGTGTAGGGACACGGTGGCTCAGTGGTTAGCACTGCTGCCTCACAGCGCCAGGGAACCGGGTTCGGTTCCACTGTCGGACGATTGTCTGTGTGGAGTTTGCACATTCTCCCCGTGTCTGCATGGGTTCCCTCCGGGTGCTTCAGTTTCCTCCCACAGTCCAGAGATGTGCAGACTAGGTGGATTGGCCATGCTAAATTGCCCGTAGGGATCTAGGGATGCCTAGATTAGGGGGATGGATCTGGGTGGGATGCTCTGAGGGTCGGTGTGGACTACTTGGGCTGAAGGGCCTGTTTCCACTCTGTAGGGATTCTATGATGATTCTAATTTCTAAAGATAATCAAAAGAAGTTTCTGGAAAACAGTGATCATGAGACACATCACCCAAAGTCTTTTTCATAAGAATATTGCCATTGTTCAGAATTAGAAAGTTATCCAACTCTCTGGTCAGCATTCATCCTTTAAGCAACACCACAGATGACAGATTTCCTGATTATTGATCCAACTGCTGTTTGTGGGACATGAACAAATTGGCAAACATGCTTGCTCGTCTATGAGCAATTATTGCACTCAATTCCATGTGAAATGAATGAGCATGTTTGGGAGACTTTATGTGGCAGTGAGAGTTACAAATCTATCTTGTTAGTGGCCCATGCATCATTTCCAAGCTGTTTGGTATTAGGCATTGACACTGAATGAAAGATCCCATTCTGCATGTTCCTGAATACCTGAGCTGTCGAGAGGAATCTCCAGATCTCATTATTTTTCTCATCTTCAACAGTTCCACTTCTTACGACCACTGCATGAGCTGGCACTTTAGCCCAGTTACATTCTTTGTATTTATCGACTGCTTTTCTGGTACCATCTAAGCACAGGAGCTCATAGTTTGCCTTCTCAGCAGCTAAAGAACAATAATGCAAAAAATAAACATTATCAAGGAGGCTGTGCACTGCTCACTTTGCCAATACTGGTCCCAGTTCAGGCAATACAAGTTCAATTGGTAAATTGAATGTAGGATAGGATCTTCTGCCCTTTCCATGAAGATTAAGCTGGGTTATTGGGATGATTCTGTGGCCTTGCAGGGACTTTGCCATCTCACCACCTGGGGAAGCTATCAGCTAGATACATGGGGTCTGCTTCCAGCAGGTTAGGGCAGGGGAGCCATAACAGCTGTAGGGCCATCAGAACTGAAGACTCTGAGCACCACTGACAGATCTGCAAGCAGGAAAGGTTGAAATCAAAGTTGATATTGACTCAGCAAAAGGGCTTCTGCTCAACCCCAACAGGCTACAGGCCTAAACCATGGTCAAGTCTTCATTGCTGTTCAGGTCAGCAGCATCATCTCCTTAAACGGGGCGCTGTCATGGTTCTTAACTCACCCTCAGTATGCCAGTTTCCCCTGGTGGCCTTGCCTAGAATCCAAAGTCATTCTTCTGAATTGGCCTGCTACATTGAAAACTTGCTCAGGGTCCTTAACTAGGCAGTACACACTGAGGCAGACTACTGTCTCCTGGATGGTTACAAGTGCGGGCTCAGGTCACTTATTCGGTGACAACATCAGGTTCCCAAAACTTCTGAGAAATGGTGGCTCGTGTGTGGAATGAACTTCCAGAGAAAGTGATGGATGCGGCTACAGTTAAAAAGTTTTTTTTAAAAATTTAGATAAGTACATGAATAAGAAATGTTTGCAGGGATAGGGGCCAAAAACAGGCAGGTGGGTCTACCTTATTTTGGGATTATGGTCGGCATAACCTAGCTGAACCGAAGGATCTGCTGCATGACTCTATGAGTTTAAATCCAGCTGACTTGGTGTCTATAAGTAAAATTCTATAAGTGTTCCTACATTCTCACACTCACACAGACAATTTCTGTTAAAAATTGACCCTTTATAAATATTTTTCAAAATTATTTGAAGGAAAGCCAATGGAAAAAAATCTACTAGAAGTAGATCCATCTGTCCTTCTGAGTTAATTCTACTCTGGTACAAATTATACACATTGCACTATTTAATCTGAACAATCCAAATTCAGTTCACAGTGTCACAGCTCTGAAAAACTATATCAAGTTCAAGTTATCAAGAAACATCTGGAGTCTTCAAATAGAAGTTTAAATGAATATAGTTAAGGAAAATGGTGTAAATAAATTAATCATATTGTTGAGAAATAAAGAATCTCTTTTAGAATTTTATATAAACAATGATTTCGATCCTTGTTTTGGACAATAGAAACTCAATTTACTGAAGAAAGATGGCGATTCAAATTTTTCAGTTGAAAAACTTTTCAGACAGGCTTTCAGGAAATTTATGGACAGGTTCTGCAATTGCAGGGTGATTGCAATTGTGGAAGAAGTTGAATCAAAAGTAAGACAAAACATTGCAAAAGAAACAATTTTAGTCAGGACCAGTTTACATAAGATTTTAATGAGTCATAGATTATTGAAACCACCGCTACCTGGCACTGTGGTATGTTTCACAAAGGCCACATCTCCAAAACCTTTCTTCAAGCATCTAGAAAGGAATAATCACACTAGTTAATTAAACATACCAAAACAGTGGGACACCCCAGTGTGGACTGTGTAACTTGGTAAGCCCTTTACAAGAGCCTTTAGCAAGGTTAGGCATAGAACAACTTACAATCGAGACAAACATTGCACATTTTTTAAGGTTTATTTCCAAAGAAATACAAAAACAAAATTAAAAAGTTATAAACTTAACACTCCAGCAGATTCCATTATCCTCCAGAAGACCAAACAGCATCCCACCAAAAACAAATCTTCCTATATCATCAACAAACCATCTTAAACCATAGACCCCACTTTAATGGCACAAGGTCATGCAATCCACTATAAATAATGGCTTCTCCCTGCTTCTATTCCAATATAACTGAACAAATTCATGTACCATACTATACTTACTATACTGTAGACAAATCCCACATAAGTGCTTGCAGGTCATGCAAACCTTGCGATTAGAAACAGAACAAATTGTTTCCACACTACCCCGAGCTGCACTTGTAGTCACTTTCTGTGACTAATACTACATCTGAACATTTGTAGGAAGTGCTCTCCCTGGTGTCACAACACAAATAATCACAGCCACAAAAGAACACTTCATCCATTCAGTTCCGACAACGCATCTCAGTCTCAGTTTAAACCACACTCAGAAGGTTGCAGGTTCAGGTTCCACTCTGCAGATTTCAGTATATAACCTAAGATGGCACAGTGAATGCTGGCTGAGACATCAAACCAAGGCTCTGCCGAGAGTCATAGAGTCATAGAGATGTACAGCATGGAAACAGACCCTTCAGTCCAACTCGTCCATGCCGACCAGACATCCTAGACAAATCTAGTCCCATTTGCCAGCATCTGGCCCATTTCCCTCTAAACCCTTTCTATTCATATACTAATCCAGATGCCTTTTAAATATTGTAATTGTGCCAGCCTTCACCACTTCCCCAGTCAGTTCATTCCACACATGCACCACCCAAATGCATGAAAAAGCTGCTGCCCCTTAGGTCCCTTTTAAATCTTCCTGCTCTCACCTTAAACCTATACCCTCTAGTTTGGACTTCCCTACCCTGGGGAAAAGACCTTGTCTATTTACCCTATCCATGCCCCTCATGATTTTATAAACTTTTACAAGGTCACCCCTCAGCCTCTGATGCTACAGGGAAAACAGCCCCAACCTACTCAGCCTCTCCTATCCTTTTAAATATCCTTGGACACTTTTACGAAGCTGATTTTTCAAATTGTCTGGAGAAATCCTACACCCAACATCACTAAAACAGATGATCAAGTCATTTGTGGGACCATATGCTACATTCATGTTGACTATATTATGACTGGGACTGCATTTCAAACATATGTCAGTTGTGAAGCAAGTTTTCTCATTCCAAGGTCATGAATGGTGCCACATAGTTTCAGTGATTTCTTCTTTTCAATGTGGTTCAAAGAATACCCTATAATACAAGCTGAATAGTCTCTCATTTATTTAAAAAGAACACTGAAATAGTCTATCATTTATTTCAGAAATACTGGAGTGACATTTGGTTAATGAAAAAGAATATGTTGGATTGGTTTATGCATTTTGTTCTACACATAAATATCAACAAATCGAGTGGAGAGATTACAATTTATTTACGGCTAAACTGAACCCAACAATCAGAGTGGAACTTGCTGTCCAATAGGAAGCACATTGAAAGGGATGCTGTTGTTCTACATGATAGTTTGATAATTTCTGACTTGAGAAGTATGGAATACTTACAGAAATGCTCCTGAATAATCATAAAAGGGTTCATTGTGTGATCGCTGGCAGAAATTCGTTCCTGTTCCATTGCACAGTTTACAAAGATTAGGGAAAGATTTAGGAGCACCTGGAACACAGCTGCTGGAAAAGAATCGTGCCACAACTGGCAGAGGGAAAAAAAAAAGAGAAATTAATTTGCAACAATCAATAGGTATGAATCCATGGAGAAGACTTTCTGGAGTTGACAACCAATATGGCAGGATTATTTGGGGTGCAGTGAATTTTGAAAAACTGCCCACTTTGGGAAGCCTGTGCCTCTACAGGGACTGATCTGATTTGTCTCTTCTACAGAAATTAAGGGAAGGATAAACTGAATGATTCCTTTATGAAGAGGTTCTGATCTACTCAATTTTCCACTATTTGCTTCACCCAAACAATCCAGTCTGCCTGGGCAAAGATTCAGCAAAATTTACCCTTATCAGTTTAAAGGTAGGACTCTCAGGCTGCTCAGTAACAGTTAAGGATCACAAAGGAGCAAGTAACTTCTGCAAAATAAGGACTGAGGTTACACCAGGAATTACTTAATTTAAAAAAAAACATATCCTTACTCATTTAACAGCACACACGATGATGCATGTGTCAGAGTAACAGAGAAAGTAACATAGAATGAGATTTAAAAGCAGGCAAAGACAAAGAATAAAACACTGCAGCTGCTGAAAAGCTGAAATAGAATCGTAAAATTTTGGAAATACACAGGTGAACGTTTAAAGTAAGGAAAAACGATGAAATTTCTGTGTCCATCAGTTCTGAAACGCCACTCTCTTTCTCACATAAATATCTCATTTTAAGAATGCATAGGTCCAATTTGCCTCTGAAAATTTGGGAATTCTAGCATCAAATGCTCTAGGTTAATGATATCTAAACACTGTAATACTTAATATAAGTAAACAAGATGTCATTTTAGTCTCCTTTCTCAACTGTGGAACATCAGTTTCTACAATCCTTCCTTGGTGGTTCTCCTTTTACATAATGAATTTTTTCCATCAGTCTTTTCTGCACCTTCTTCATTGCATCAACTCCATTTTTGTGACATGATAATCAAAGCTAAAGACTATAATTCAGGTTTACCACGCCATTACAAAGCTTTGAAAGTGTCAAGATCTCATCACAAATACACTTGTTTTGAATTTTTGAAAAGAAGGTTTTAAATGGAGCAGCAATGTCAGGGACTATCTGGGTTCCATTCTACTTGCTGTTAGACAAATAGACTGACTTGACGAGCAGAGAAAAGAGAAAGTAAAGGGCAAGAGAGGAGTAGAAAAATAAAGAAAAGCATGAAAAACAGAACTGGAAAGCAAAAAAAGGATGCAGAAAAGAATTTTTTTTCTTAATTCATTCACAGGAATGAATAAGGTTGGGAAGTGTAAGGGAAAGAGGGAAGGACAGGAAGTAATGAAAAAATTAGGGCAGCGTAGAATTTAGAATGATTGAGGGACACAGGACTGGAATTATGTTGAAGTGGACTCCCGGAACCCCAGTGTAAATATTTTAGCCTTCAAATCTTCCTGAGGAATCTAATGAACTGTAATATAGAGAATTTGTCAATTTGAAACTCCTGCTTCCAGCACTGATTTCCATGATCCCAAACGTTACAGCTGTTGAAGTCATTAGCCTGTGGTTTCCTAGGTCAGATTTGCCATCCACAGAGAAATAGAAATGGCAAGGGAGGGGCTGAACCACTGGTATCCCTTTCTAACTTGTAAAATTGGCAAGTGTGGGCCTTTAATGCCCAGATGCCAACCTGAATTACCTTGAAGTTAGGCTTGACATGGACTTTCCAGCTCAAAACAGGCTATTTGAAAGCACAACTGGGAAGGTTGGAAGTCCCATGCCTGTTGGAGGGCTCCAACAGCCATTTTGAAAGAGAAATGGGCAATACTCACACATCAAATGGGAGTCCATCTATCGACATATCCAGAAGATCAACTCGTGAATCCAAAAGGGCTCATTGGAGGAATTAGTTTCATTACTTTGGGGTTTGTAATGACATTTGTGAAACCAAGCATATTAGCCACCAGACAGACCTGGCCAATTCATTAAGTGCTTACAGCACATCCAATCTGGCTATCATGAATAATCTATTTCCAGTCAACTTTGTTTTGTTAATTGGCTTAGTTTGAATACAAAAATTGAAAAGTTCCTGACAAAAAAAAGCAAAACAAGACATTACATTACATTTTTCAACAGGATCCTCAGTATTCCAGTTTTCTCCGAAATTTCTCAGAATGGTTCCAATTGGGATATTCCAACCAGCAGATTTACCCAAACCAGTGTGGCAGGACTTCTTGCCCCTCAACGTATTGAAATTAATGTTAGTGCCTTTCTTTACCACTGCTACAGCATAGTAGCAGGACTCGCCTGTAAAATACAAATTACACTGTCAATAATTCGATCACAGAAAAATCTAATTTCCACTTCATATCCAAGTATCTCCATCAACCACATCAATTCTTTATGGCATTTTGGCAATGGAATAATGTCAATCCCTGTCAAATTCTGCAGAGCGATCTAAAGCAGTATTGCTTCTCAAATAATGGAAAGTATAGTAAAATATACAGGTTATCAAGATAGCTGTGGAGTCTATTCCTACAAACATGTTGAATGCACTCTGGAGCAGGTTCTATCACGAGCAATGAAATAATTGTGGCCAGGGGTCTTTGACATGTTAAGATTGTTGCCAAGTGATACTTAAATCCCTCTAAAGTGACATCTATCCCAGTTATGGAGATCCCTATAGAGATATATCTATCATAGAATATTGTTATGGATGTAGGGTCATTAATCTATGAGAGGTCATTGAAATCATTGTAAAGAGCGAAGTATCACAGATAAGCAGCGTTGCTAAAGAGAGGTGTGCATCATGGATTGTGTGGATGGTTGTAGGAAGAAGTATACCATAGGCTATAGAGAATCACAGAATTCCAGAATTATTATTGTGCACCAAATTCTATATAAAGGAGGCTACATCAGGTTATGAGGCTGCGGTGAAAAGGACTTTCATACGGATTGTAGAGCTCATTTTAGAGAGGGATGGGTCTCAAGTTGTTGCACTTATTGTCGAAAAGGCCTTTGACATATATTGAGATCACTCCAAGTAATGTTTGACCATGTTCTAGTTATTTGTTCAAAGTTGTTAAAGATTCTTAGGCACACAGAGCTACAATTTTGAAGGTTATTCTGAAAAAACAAAGGTCTCTGCGGAAACAGTGATTATGGTTACTGTTCTTTTTCTCTGGTTGCAGCCCTTTTATGGTGGTGTAACTAATTTGCCTTCTTTTCACTTTTTCACAGGATATGGAGATCACTGGATAGGCTGGCATTTGTTTCCAATCATTAATTATCCTGAGAGTGTGGTGGTTAGCCACCTTCTTGAACCATTGTAAATTATGCACTGTCATGGAGATCCAGGATTTTGACCCAATAACGGTGGGCAACATATTTCTAAGTCAGGATTGTGAGTGGCTTGGAGAGGGGCTTGCAAGTGGTAGTGTCCACATGAACCTGCTTCCTTTATTCTTCCAAGTGGCAGAGGTTTTCGAACGTGCTTTCAAAGGAGCCTTGGTGAGCTACTGCAAGTTGTAAATAGCTCACACTGTGTGTTGCTGCTGATAGTCGGAGTTAGTGGTTAAGGTGGTAGATAGGGTGCTAATCAAGTGCATTATTCTGGTACGTGAAGTATGATACTGTGAATGCATAATTTAGACACTGAGAACAAATGGCTTCCAGTCTTTGGGAATGAGTAAGGGTCACACTATAAAAACTAGAATCATAAAATAGTGAGGAAAGAGGCTACTCAGCCCATCAAGTCTGCACTAACCCTCCGAAGAGCATCCTGCCCAGACCCAGGCCCTCACCCTATCTCCATAGCCCCACATTTACCATGGCTAATCCATCTAGCCTGCACGTCCCTGGACATATGGCATGGTTAATCCACCTAACCTGCACGTCTTTGGATTGTAAGAGGAAACCAGAGCACCCAGCAGCAAACTCCACACAGACAGTCGCCCAAGGCTGCAATCTAACTCATGTTTCTAGTGCTGTGAGGCAGCTTTGCTAACGACTGAGCCACCATGCCACCCAAGTTTAAATAATTGCCTGGAACATGAAAGGTTTTAATTCACACATTGGCATGTGTCAGTATCTTAAGCCTACTTGGTTGGCATCAAAGTAACTTGCAAATCATTTGCTCTGCTACCTTCTTTGCAATCCCATCGCCTAATGTTCTTATTGAACGGTCTTGATTTATCATATTCTGTGGATGCAGACATCCACTTAGTTTACAAAGATTGTTTCTGAGAGATTCTCAAAGCAATTGAGTTGCTAAACTGCAGCCAGCTCTTTCTGATATACTGCTTGAAATTCTGAGAATGAGATAGGCAGGAACCCATGCACTGTCTTCAGTTGAAGAAATCTATGTTAGGGCACATTTCAAGGCTGGGGCAGAGCTAAGGCAGGTCAGACATTTGAAAGAAATATGAATTTTTGAGGGAGCTTTAATTCAAGCCCACCAATCTAGAATATTATGTTGTTTTCAATAAAGAGAAAGATTAATTCTCAGGCAAGGAACTATGCACTTCATTTCAGAGCCTGAGTCTATGTGAAATATTTTTAACAAAATCATTTGTACATGCTATTATTATGTGACACATCAAATGATGGGTAGATCATTCATTGAAAATGTTACTTTTAATGAGAATATTTCTTAGTGGTAAAGATGGGGAAAAAGTAATTTACATCAAAATGTCACAATTTCTTGTCTAAACAGTCAGAGATTATAGATGTGTGGAACAGATCCATGTGGCTGGCTCACAATAGTAATGAGTATTGAGCAACTGACCTATAATAATAAAATACTAGCTGTCCCTTTCCTTTTGAAGAGCAAGCAATTACCTGTGACATTCTCAGCTGCAATTGGTTTCAGGCGTGGTTCAGGCAAGAGACCTCCCTTGTATATATCTCCAGCATCCACAGTTATAGCATCTGCTTCTCGATTCTGAGAATGAGAAACATGTACATCATTAATAGAAATTCCCCTTACTTTCAACCAATGCAATTAACAGGGACATTGCTTGCTTTTCCATCTAATTGTGTCGCCTCTTTTGTGAATCCTTCAATGAAATTTACTAATCTAGGTTTGAAGGAGACAATAAATATGCATCCTCCAATTTGACACGTGAATCTGAGAATTCAGTCAGACAGTAAAAATATTCAACCTTTGAAGACATATAAGCACTGTGCACAAGAAGGCCAGACTCAGAACTGAAGTTTATGCATATCAGAAACAGTAGGAATTGCAACCCTAGTCCTGGGACATTGAAAGACTGTTGCCTATGCTGACATGACTCTTCTATAGTCAATAATCGGCAAGGGAACCTCAACATCCGTTCTCTGGATATTCTCTGGATCATTTCCAATTGACAAGTCAAAACACATCCTGCCTCTCACAATGACCTGTAGACCGCAATCAATAAAGATAGGTGACAGTGCTTCCTCCATGATAATCCTCAACACTGGTGACCCCTAAGGCTGTGTACTCAGCCTATACTATACTTCTTGTACAAATTTGTGGCCAAATTCAATTCTAATTCCACCTTACAAATTTGCTGATCTCACCACCGTTGTGGGTCAGATCTCAAACAAAGATGAGACAGAGTACAGGAAAGAGCTGCACAGCTTAGTGGCTTTGTAGTGACAATATAACAATCTCTCCCTCAATGTGAGCAAAACAAAGGAGCTGGTTATTGACTTCAGGAAGCAGAGTGGAGGACGCGCCTCTGTCTGTATCAATGGCGGTAGAGTGGAGGTGGTTGAGAGCTTTAAATTCCTATGAGTAAATATCACAAGCAATCTATCCTGGTCCATCCACATCGACACTACAATCAAGCAAGCACATCAAAGCCTCTACTTCCTCAGATGGCTAAGGAAATTCAGCATGTCCACAATGACTTGCACCAATTTTTATAGGTGCACCGGATGCTTCACAGCTTGTTATGGCAACTGCTCCTGCCAAGACCGCAAGAAATTACAGAGAACTGTGCGCACAGCCCAGTCCATCAGGCAAAGCAGCCTTCCTTCCAATGACTCAGTCTATACTTCTCGCTGCCTCGGGGAAGCAGCTAACATAATGAAAGACCCCTCCCACCCCAGTTGTACTCTCTTCCACTCTCTTACATCAGGCAGAAGATACAAAAGTTTGAAAATACATCTCAACAGATTCAAGGACAGCTTCTTCCCTGCTGTTATCAGACTTCTGAATAAACCTCTCATACATCAGAGTTGACCTTTCTCTGCAAATTCTCTAGCTGTAACACATTATTCTTAATTCTGTTCTATTACATTGACGTATTTTTTAAGGTATGATTTGTCTGGCTAGGACGCAAAACAATACTTTTCACTATATCTCGGTACATGACAATAATTATTCAAATCAAAATGGTGTTCTTCCTTTTTCTGACCCTAGCAGTTCACCAGCATACCCCTTGTGTCAGCATAGTCTTTTTCAGATTTAAATTTTCCGAGACAGCTTTGAGAAGCCACTAGCTGCAACAATGATTGGGACTTTCTACGTTGTAGTTAAAATGTGGGAGCAGGCTAATGTGAGGGTGAGGGAGTCCCATCCCACCACTGAGATAGCCAACAAGATCAAGCAGGAATCAAGCGCTTATGCATCGGTCGCCAATCAATCAACCACTTACCCAACGCAGCAAGCAGGTATCCCCATTTTCCCAGTCAAGAAGCTGGTCATTTCTGTTGTCTACTGGGAAGGCAGGAAATTGAGCTGGTGACAGGTTGAAGCCCTTAAGTGGTCAATGATAGGCCACTTCTGGGCCTTAAATGGCGGTGGGTTAGGAAGATCAACCACCCAGAACTCAATTGCTAAGGTGTCCAGAAAGTTGGGGTGGTATCTCTCCAGTGACAGCCCCACATCTGTCTTGCCCTTTCTAGGGAAGGCATAATTCCACCCAATGATGTTTTAACCTGTCAGATATCCCTGTAAGATACAGCCAGATATTTGCCTGCACTTTGAAGATTGTGTGCAGTCCTCACCCTAATGAAGATAATGCTTCCCATAGAGGGAGAGCAGTGAAGGTCCACCAGACTGATCCATATTTTCATTTGCATTTTTTAAGTTGCTTCATGCTGCAGAGAGTATTCTCAGAGGACAAAGTGCTGTCCCACTTCTGGTTTTGTTTTTTTAAACTTGACATTCAAAACATTGACACCCGCTTTCATCTCTTTGCTATTCTTTAGGACCTGCTGAGTTATTTTTTAATGACCTCAGAGATTCTCTCAGGAGCACAACTATTCATTGTTAACTCAGTAATATTATTTGTTCATTGAATGTGAGGATTGCTGAAAAAGATCACACTTAGTGCCATCCCTATATGCCCCATAGAAGGTGGTCATAGGCTGCCTTGTTAAACTGTTGAAGTGTGTATAGTGTAGAATGCACTCAAAGTGCAATTAGGGAGGGATTTTCAGGTTATGGTTCAGTGTCAGTGAAGGAATCACAATGTCACTCCAAGGCAGGATGGGGTGCAACTTGGAGAGGAACTAACAACTGATGACGTTCTCATGCACCTACTGTAATAATAAAACCACATGGAGCACCAGACATCAGCACAGGCACTGGATTCATCAAAGGCACACTCAGACCAGTCAACCCTGCAGAGTCCTCCTCACGAATGGCAATGGCAACAGGAATTTGTAGCAAATTTGTGACACATAATCCAAAGGAAAGGTAAGTAACAGCCTGATATAGTCAAACTCATCAAATCACATCCCACAGTCAAGATCAGGCACCTTCATTGTTGTTATGTTCTAGATATTCAGCAAGACAGACCCCCATTGGAGAAGCTAGTATATTGATTCATTTCAGGAGGTAAAACTGTGTCAATTCTCAACATTGGCTCCAGGATCAAACAAATTCTTTGGGCTTCAGGGCAAGAAATCCTCCCGCTGATTACCACCTACCACCCTCCCTCAGCTGATCAGTCAGTACTCTTCCAGTTTGAAAATGACTTGAAAGAGGCATTGAGTATATAGCAATGGTACAAAACATGTTCAGCCTGGTGGGACTTCAATGTCTACAATCAAGAGTGTTTAGGCAGCACCATGATAGACCAAGCATGCAAGTCCTGAAGATCATTTTTGCTAGACTGATGCTGCAGGAGTTGAAAGAAGTAACAAGAGGGGAGAAACCTACTTGACCTCTTCTTTATCAATCTACCTGTTATAGGTGCATCTATCCATGACGGTGTTAATTTGAGTAACTAAAACATTGTCCCTGTGAGGATTATGAAAACCATTCAATTGCTCCCGGGGATAGGGGGTTTGTCAAATGATGAGAGGCTCAGGATAAGGGGCCAGTTCAAAATGTCAAACAGCTTGAAATCTTTGAAATTCTCTCCCCTGGGCTTGTGGATGCTTCATAGTGGAATATATTTCAGACTGAGACAGAAAGATTGTTGGTCTTTCAGGGGTATGGGGAATGGATAAGAAAGTGGAGATAAAGACCATGTTCAGCATGATTGTACTGAATGGCAGAGAAAGCTTGAGAGGACATGTCCTCCACTCCTGATCCTTTTTCTTGTGTTCTTGTGTGAATAATGCATGTAGTTTTATGTTACCATTTAAAGCCTGTTTTACAGCTGCTGCTGCTGCATCAATTGGATTTACTTGCTCTAATAAAATGCTGTAAAGGTCTGGGTCAGCAACAAAGCTTTGTTTACATCAGTAACCCTGTCAAATGGATAGAGTTCCATAGTAAAATTCCAGACAATACATTTGATGAATATAATTCTGCAATTTGTTTCCGGGTTTATAAAGTTTTTATTTACTTATATTCACCTAATTAATTCTTCATATCAGCCTGAGAATCCTGTAATAAAGTAATTAGATTGCAATCTTATGTGCAGGGCTGAATAAAATTAAATCTTACCTTGATAGCATTCAAACAGGCTTCAGGATTATCCTTCTGCACACACTGGAAGTTGCTGAAGCCTTTGGTTGTCATTTGGGTTTTCAAATCCTGGCATTTCCTTGTCTCTTGTGGAGAAACTGTACACCACTTGATCTTTGGCTCAGCAGCGAATGAAAGAGCTTGATAATCAAAAAGAAAGTCAGACAGCAGTTGTACAATGTGGAGGAAAAGCACAGCAATTAGGAAAGAGAAGAGAAGGCACATTAATTGTAGAGAGGAGTGAGATATAGATACTGAATTGAAACTTAATGGTGCAAAAGAGAGCAAGATATGACTGACTTTAGAGCAATGGAAGATAACACAGCTATATCACTGCAAGGAGGAAGAATGGCAATTATGTGGGTACGAGAGAATGTAGCCGGGGTCCTCTACAGGCTGAAAAAGAGTAAATAAAGATGGTATACAAAAGAGAACAAAGTGAGTTTAAAGGTCCAACAGTACAATGATTATAAATGAGAGAATGAATAGTGATTGCAAAGGGGATGGAGCTCAATGATTGTAGAGATCACAGTGGTTATAAAGGGTAAAGCACAGCGATTGTAAAGAGTAAAGCCCAGTCATTGCAAAGAAGAGAGTACAGTGATTCTAAGTAAATTAATAACAAATATTAAGAAAATGGTGGATGAAATAAGTAAATATTTTGCTTGTCTTCACAAGAGACTGCACAAAATACATTCTGGTAATCACTATAAATTATAAGTTGGAAGGTAGAGAGGAACCTGGTGAAAATATAATCAATAGGGAAGTAGTATTGAACAAATTGATGGAGTTACAGGCTGACAGGACCCTAGGTATTAAAAGTAGTCGCAAATGAGGCAGTAGATGTATTGGCATTAATTTCCCAACATTCACTAGATTCTAAAGAGGTTCCATCAGACTGGAAATAGCAACTATAACTCGTCTATTGAAGAAAGGAGGCAAACACAATGTTATAGGCCTATTAGCTTGATGTCTATCATGAGGAAGTGTTAGAATTGATTATTAAAGGGTTATAACTGGGCACTTGGAAAACCTCAAGGCAATCAGGAAGAGTCAACATGATTTTCTGAAAGGGTAATGATGTTTAGCCATTGTACTGCATTTCTTTGCAAGAGTAACATGTACATTAGAGAAAGGGGAGCTTATAGATTTACTGCACTTGGATTTTGAGAAGGTATTTGACAAAGTGTCACGCAAAAGTTTTTTGCACAAAGTAGGAGCTCATCACATAAGGGAATAACATAGCATTGTGATCCTGGGTGAGAATGGAAGAAATTGCCCCTCCCTCTTTAGTTAACAAGCCCTTTCACCTTGGATGGTCACAAGCAGGCTAACCTAAGACAAGGAATCCCTTCCCTTGTGGATATCCTTCCCAGTTCCAATGTATCTTTGTTCTAATAGGAGTCAATTTAACGAGATTTTTTTGGGTTAGAGAAAGAGTGAATTAGTTAATATTAGTTAGTAAAACACAAGGAAGAATAAGAAAATGTAACACACATACACAGAATCGAAATGAGAAGTGAAGAAACAGATAACAGTGCAAAAAAAATACATTAATCAGTCTTTGGCATGTCTGTGAAAAGTCAGTGGTGAAACATTACAAACATGGATATAAGTTTGGCTGGTTACTCGAAAATAGAGCTTATACATACATTCCCCTCCCCCATTTCTGAAGAAGGGTCCAGACCCGAAACGTCAGCTTTCCTGCTCCTCTGATGCTGCTTGGCCTGCTGTGTTCATCCAGCTCTACACCTTGTTATCTCTTATACATACATGGGTCTTTTTCTGATTGGCAGGATGTGACAAGGAGCTCCCTCAGGGATCTGTGCTGAGGTGTCAATTTTTTCCAAATTATGAATAATTTTCATTTTACATCATGGTAGTAGGAAGGTATGTTGTGTAGTTAAGGGATTCATTGAGAAGTCTAGAGCAGCTGGATGTCTCTAAGATGTTAGAACTCTGAAGCATGTTCCAGAGGTAAGTGTTGGATTCAGGGCTCTCAAAAGAAGCTGTGCACCATTAATGGTACAAACAGTGAGGATTGGAAACATGTGAGCAGTCATTGTTTTGTGAAACTGAGCAAGATGAGAGCTCAGGAAATAGCTAGGGGCAGTGCTAGGTTAGGGAAGCTCATAGTTTGCAAGAAACTGGAACTATGCTTATGTCTAAGTGATAGAGCAGTTTCCAAGAATCCAGAACAGTGCAGACTTAGAAAAGTGGACAACAAGAATGCAATGAATCTTTGAGGTAGTATATGAAAGGAATAAAGAAGGGTCTGTATCTCTCGCTCTCTTGCTGATTGGTGGAAGCGAGTCACAAGTGAGAAGAGCCACTAAAAGGAAAGAGACCAACTCCTTTCAACTAACTTGCAGAACAAAAAACTCAGGTTAACTGTTGAACTGCTAAGGTCAACATTATCAGAACCAGTTCAATGGCTGCAATGTTTCACCATCGACTTCTCACGGACAAGCCAAAGACTGATTTATATATCCTTTACTAATTTTTTTTTGTGTTTCTTCACTTCTTATTTCTATTCTGCGTATGTGTGTTACTTCTTACTCTTTCTTGCATGTTACTAAAAAGTTCACTCTTTCTTTATGAAAGCCCGATTGTGTTGACTCCTTTTAAAACATAAATACATTCGAACTGAGAAAGGTACCTACAAGGGAAGGGATCCCTTGTGTTAAGTTAATCAGCCTATGACTCTGAGGCAAAGGGGGCATTGACTAAAGTGGGGGAACCAAATCCAATTTTCCTCATCTGGGAACATAATAATTTGGGAGTGACCCATTTAGAATCACACAAACCGAGGACCCCTGTCCAAGGATTGATATAAAATTGTTTTTCCTCACACCTCCCTACAAGCCTACCACCACCACTAGTGTGAATTTAGAAAATGTCTTGGCGTTACAAAAAGACAAATCATTATTGCGAAAGCTCATAAAACCCTGACAATGTAATGTTCAGCCAGACATTTGAAGTGTTAACTATCCACTTTCAGAAAGCCTGGCTTAATAAGAAAACTGCATTCAAAATATTCTGTTAAAGAAATTGTAACATTAAGTAAGTGACAATAATTGCATAGGGTTTGATCCTTAACTTTTAATGCAGATTTTTTTTTGAACATGTATAGGCTCAAAAAATATAAAGCAGAGAGTAGAAGTAAAGAGCAGTTACCTAGATTGAAGGAAGGTTAAGAAAATGTGTTCCACAGGAATCAATTCTGGGCTTATTGCTCATCCATTACAGAATCTACAGTCTAAAAATTTGTAGATGTTGCTCAACTGGGGTTTATAGTAAATACTGGGAATGGATGCAATATAAGATCCAGAAGTTTTAAAACTATAAATATAGGAGCTGAATTAGGCCATTTGGCCCATCAAATCTGGTCTACCATTTGATCATGGCTGTTATGTTTCTGAACCCGTTTCTCCTGCTTTCTCCCTGTAACCCTGATCCCATTACTAATCAATACTATCTATCTCTGTCTTAAATACACTGAATGACTTGGCCTCCACAACCTCCTGTGGCAATGAGGTCCATGGATAAGCCAACCTCTGGCAAAAGAAATTCCTCCTTATCTCAATTCTAACAGGTGGTCCCTTCACTTTGAAACCATGCCTTCAGGTCCTAGTGTCTCTTACTAGTGGAGACATCTTCTTCACATCCACTCTATCCAGGCCTCTCAGTATTTTGTAAGTTTCAATCAGATGCCCCTTATCCCTTTAAACTCCAACAAGCACTGACCCAGAGTCCTCAACCTCTCCTCATATGACAAAACATTCATCCCTGGGATCATTCTGCTTAACCTCCTCTGGACCCCCTCCAACACTAGCACATCCTTCCTTAGATATGGGATCCAAAACTGCTCACGATATTCCAAATATGGTCTGTCCACAGCCTCATGCACCCTCAGTAGTACATCTTTGCTTTTGTATCCTAGCCCTCTTGAAATGAATGCTAACATTGCAATTGCTTTCCTAATTAACCTACATGTTAACCTTAAGAAAATCCTGAACTACAACTCCTAAGTCCCTTTGTACATAAGACATCCAAAGTCTTTCTCCCTTTAGAAAATAATCTATGCCTCTATTCTTCCTACCAAAATGTGCAACCTCATACTTTTCCACATTGTATTCCATCTGCCACTTCCTTGCCCACTCTTCTAGTCTGTTCAAGTCTGTCTGCAGCATCCCTCATTCTCAACACTACCTGTCCCTCCACCTCTCCATGTGTCATCTGCAAACTTAGCAACAATGCCCTCAGTTCCTTTGTCCACATTGTTAATGTAAAACGTGAATATTTCTGGTCCCAACACCGACTCCTGCAGAACTTGACTAGTTACTAGCTGCCAACATGAAAAAGATTCCTTTATCCCTACTCTCTGTCTTCTGCCAGTCAGCCAATCCTCTATTCCTGCCCGTATTTATCCCCTAACACCACAGTGTCTAATCTTATTTAGCAGCAACCAGTGAGGAAACTTGTCAAAGGCTTCTGGAAAAATCCAAATAGATCACATCCACTAGCTCTCCTTTGTCTAACTTGCTCATTAGCTTCTCTAAGAATTCTATCAGATTTTTCAGGTACGACATCTCCATGATGAAGCCATGCTGATTCGGCCCTACTTCACTCTGCATTTTCAAGTACTCCACAATCTTATCCTTAATAATGGACTCCAAAATCTTACCAACAACCAAGGTCAAGCTAACTGGTCTATAATTTCCTGTCTTCTGCCTCACTCCATTCTTAAACAGGGGTGTAACATCAGCCATTTTCCAGTGCTTTGTGACCTCCCTGACACCAGTGTTTCCTGAAAGATCACTACAACGCCTCTACAATCTCCTTAGCTATTTCCTTCAGAACATTGATCAGAAGTCTGGTCCAGGTGATTTATCCACTTTCTGGCTTTTCAGCTTCTACAGCACCTTCTCCTTAGTGATGACCACTACACTCTCCTCTGTCCCTGACTCTCTTGAAGTTCTGGTGCCTTCCACTGTGAAAACTGATGCAAAGTACCTATTCAGTTCCTCTGCCATTTCTTTGTTCCCCATTACTTCTCCTCCAGTCTCATTTTCTTGTGGTCTAACATCCACTCTTACCTTTTAGATATCTAAAAAAAACTATTGCAATCTACATTCAGGCCAAAAAAAAGTTACAGGCATGAACTTTGAATACTTTTCTTCTGATTCTACCAATAAAACACATTTCCTGCCACTATATTCAAGATTTGTCCATCTATTTAGCAATTGAAAAAATGGATGTGACACTGTCAATCCTTAAAAAATTATCTCTCCTTTACTTTCTCCATCTCATTTTTTAAATCTACGGGCTGGATTTACAAATTGATTCCCAGACATAAAACTGACCATATGTATTTAGCTTTCATGCTAGAAATTCCCCAATTTTTTTTTTTTTAATTTCAGAGAAATGAGAGCTGGGTAACTTCTATGATGTGCAGTTAATCTTGAAACATTACTATTACCACAGGACAGTGATGTGAAAACTTCACCCTATGAGTCTCAGGCTTGTGTGTCTGCACTTTGGAACCTATGATTATGCAATCATGTAATGGGGAGAAGGGTAGGAGCTGCTGAGTGCAGAAGTGGAAAATGTATGGCCTTTGTTTTTAACTCTAAGATGCATGGCTTTCACACACCATAGAGATTTACCCATGACTCCGGCTGGCTTTCTGGCTTCAGTGCCTGAAGCACTCTGCCAAAATGAGGGCCATATTCAGCTTGGAAATCCCAACAATACTGCCTGCCATAAATTACTGCCATTATAAATTATGGAGTGTCTCTTTAGGACATATTTCCCAAGTATTGCCATAGGTATTGAGTATAAAAGAATCTGGTCTTTACTACCATCAGAAAGTAGTGGACATCTTGCAAGTCAATCCTTGGAGCCAGAATCAGGAGGTTAAAAATTGCAAAAAATATGTCATATGGATGCATTGGCATATACCACACTTTCACAACCAGCTCATGACACAAGGTTAAAGAGAAGCAAGGAGCTAGAAGTTAGAAAGGCATGCCCCTGGTAAATTTGGCATGTCCGTGTCTATGTCAACAGTGTTATGCAGGAAAGTCTAAGCCTCCATTTGTTTCTTTTCCCTGCATCTCTGTCTGCCTCTAAGTCTGCATTTCTGTCTGTACCTGCATGCCTCAGTAAGTACATTCTTTCTATAAATATTTTATACAGATCAAGGCACAGATATCTTGTTCAGTTGCATTTTACTAAGTGTGAAAATATATTGGCACTAAATAAACAACTACAAGTGATCTTGAACACTTTCGTTCTCTATTATGGTTGCTTACAGTCTAATTATATTGTACATAATTTCAGTCTGAATCTACAAAGCCTATTTCCTAAATACATTTACTGGAAGTCACTGTCAAGATAGTTATAAGTAAAGAATTAAGACTTTTTATACCTTTTCTGCTGCTGATTTTAACAGGAATGATTTAACATTCATTTTTAAACTTAACCTCTCAGTTGCGATTAATCTTTTCATAACTGATGGTACTTTAAAAATCCCCAGAGAATTTACCATGGATCTTTTTTCTATGACAAGAACCTGCCCCAGATTGATTCTGAACAAAATTTGAAAAAGATGTATTTGAAAATAAATGATACTTGCAAGGAAATCTGACTTCCGATAAATTCTTAGACGAGTTATGTTTAATACTCACAAATAATTCCCAAGAGTAAAGCAGCCTGCAGAGAAGTCATTGTGCCAAACTGTGGATTGAAGAACAGAGGAGTGGGACTTCTGTCACAAACCAGCGAAGGCTTGTGATAGGATTTCTGTGTTCTCTGTCTCCTTTATAATGTCCAGAAATGACTACGTGAGCAGAATGATAGATAAGACTGACATGGTTTTTTTTGGGCTCTATTTCACAAGAGGGCTTACCAAACCTCGGCCCACTTCTGATATATTCAAGTAAAACTTTGTTAACCTAACATGATTGCAGAAAAAGAAGGGGGCTGGCAAGCATTTATTTGTCTATTCTTTAGATCAGTGAAATCAGATGGTCCTTAAAAGTAAAACTGTTCAAATAAATTGTTTTCCATTTTTCACATTTTCTGTATTTCAAACTTGGCTGATTTTACCTTTATCTGAACTTGTTGCTTGTTCTTAAAGGCTTTTCTTTGTTTAACTTATTCAATTGCTCATTTTAGTTACGTTTACTAATTTCCGTCTGTCTTCAATCAGTGAAGTTCAAAGTTCACTTAATCATGGATTTAAAAATTATTTAAGTATGTTGCAATACGATTTCTCTCTCATTTTCCACATTTTCTTCCTTCCTTCATTTTGTCATTTCCATCGCTCTGTTTTTCTTTTCTGTGCTCTCACTTCTAGTGCTCACAGAAGAAAATTCATTAAGCGTTGTGTCCTTTCCTATATGAGACATGGGCTCCAACCACCTCCTCTAGAATTGAGAAGAAACACTCTTCTCTCTATTGCTGTCTTGGTCCAATTAAAGTCTGGAGCGATCTTGCTCCGGGTATTGACCCACAGCACAAAACTATTACCAAATTAATAATGTCACTCACCAGTGGATCAGCTGATGTTGGAAATGAAGAAAACACATTGGTGTTTTGTACATTGGTGTATTGAAGAGGCCTTTTCAGCTAGGATTAAGGAATCACACTGGCTTAAATGAGAGGGATTTTATCAAATTTGTGCCATATCTAATGAGAAAACCTGATTAGCACAGCATAAAAAGAGCTTTTGAAAAAGACTTGCATTTGGGCGGCACGGTGGCTCAGTGGTTAGCACTGCTGCCTCACAGTGCCAGGAAACCCCGGTTTAATTCCACCCTCGAGCGGCTGTCTGTGTGGAGTTTGCACATTCTCCCCGTGCTTGCATGGGTTTTTTCCGGGTGCTCCGGTTTCCTCCCACAGTCCAAAGATGTGCAAGCAAGGTGAATTAGCTATGCTAAATTATCGATAGTGTTGAGGGATGTGTAGATTAGGTGGGTTATAGGGGGACGGGTCCGAGGGTCAGTATGGACTTGTTGGGCTGAAGCGATCATTTACACACTGTAGGGATTCTGTGATCTATATAGGAGCCAATCACTGCAGTTGTTGGAGTCTGAACTGAAAACTACAAATGCCGGAGATTACAGCCGGTCAGACAGCATCATGGAGAGAGAGCAAGCTAACATTTCAAGTCTGGATGACTCTTCATCAAAGCTGAAGTAAAGTGTGGAGGGGACAGCATTTATGCTTTAGTTTTGGGGGGGGAAGGGTGTGGGGTTAGTGGGTATAGGGTGCTGGTTGAGAAAAGATGTTGATAGTTCAGATTAAGTGGTCAGAACGTGTGAATGGCAGAATAATGGTGTGTTTACCTGCCAGACTTGAAAGGACATTAACTGGGATGGGGGAAGGGGAGGACATGATAACAAACTAGAAGGAAGGGAAGAAATGGTTCACAGTTTAAAGGTGTTGCGTTCAATATTAAGTCCAGAAGGCTGTAGAGTGCTAGTCTGAAAATGAGACGTTGCTCTTCCAGTTTGCGCTATGATTCACTGGAACGCTAAAGCATGCCGAGGGCATGAGAGCAGGACGCTGTGTTAAAATGACCAGCTACGGGAAGGTTGGGGTCATGCTTGCACACAGACCAGAGGTGTTCTGCAAAGCGGTGACCCATTCTGCATTTGGTTTCCCCAATGAAGAGTAGTTCACACTGGTTACACAGAATACAAATACACAAGATTGGAGGAGGTACAGGTGAAATGCTGTTTCACCTGGAAAGACTGTTTAGGTCCTTGGATGGTGAGCAGGGAGGAGGTGAAGGGGCAGGTGTTACACCTTCTCCAGTTACATGGGATGATGCCGTGGAAAGGGGGGTGGTGTTGTCAGTTGTGGAATGGAGTAGTGTGTCCCGGAGGCTACAGTCCCTGCAAAGTGCAGGGGGAGTGAGGGGAAGATGTGTCTGGTGGTAGCATTCTACTGGAGTAGTCTGAAATGGTGAAGAATGATCATTTGAATGCGGAGGCTGATGGGATGAAAAGTGATGACAAGGGCGACCCAATCGTGCAGGTATGAGTGATGGGAAGGGGCAAAGGTGGAACCACAGGTGACAGGGCAGATGCAGTTGAGGGCCTTGTCAACTGCAGTGGGTGGGAAGAAGGAAGCCACGTCAGCAGCGCTGTTTTGGAAGGTGGCATCATCTGAACAAATGTGTCATAGGCAAAGGAACTGGGAGAATGGAATGGAGTCCTTGCAGGATGTGGGGTGTGACAAGCTGTAGTGAAGGTAGCTATGGGAGTCAGTGGCTTTGACTTGGATGGCAGTGGACGAAATTCCCTGAAATAGAGACAGATAGGTCAAGGAAAGGAAGGGAAGTGTCAAAAATGGATGATGTGAAAGTTATGGAGGGGTGGAATTGGAGGCAACATGAATGAAGTTTTCAAGCACCTGGTGGGAGCATGAAGCGGTGCCAAAGCAGTTGTACTATGAAAAGAATTGTGGGAGGGGGCCAGAGTAGGACTGGAACAAGAATCATTCCACATACCCCATTAAGGGGCATACATAACTGGGACCCATGCGGGTGCACAAAGCCACTCATTTGACTTGGCAGATGTGAGATGAGGGAGAATTTGTTCAGTGAGAGAACAAGTTCAGCGAGGCGGAGGAGAGTGGTGGTGGATGAGGATTTTTCAGGCCTGTGATTGAGGAAGAAGCCGAGAGCTCTCAGATTATCCTGGTGGGGAATGGAGGTATAGTTGAACAGGAGGCAGTTAGGGCCAGGGAACTGGAAATTGTCAATATGGTGGGGGGTATCAGGGAATTGCGGATGTAGGTGGGTGGGGTCTGGACAAGAGGAGAGAGGATGGAGTCAAGGTAGGAGGAAATGAGCTCAGTGAGACAGGAACAGGCTGATACAATGGGCCTACCGGGACAGTCTGGTTTGTGGATTTTGGGAAGGAGGTAGAAATGGGCTGTCTGGGGTTGGGAGACTTCTAGGTTGGAGGCAGGGGTGGTGGGGGAGATCTCTGGACGTAATGGGGTCAGTGACAGTCCTGATAACAATGGTTTGATGTTCGTTTGTGGGGTCATAGTCCGGGGTTGGTAGTTTTCAGTGCATTTATATAGTGTTTTGCATGATCACCACACACCTCAAAGTGTTTTACAACCAATGAAATACTTTGAGGTGTAAAGGAAAAGTTGCCATAGTCCCACAGGTCTACTCTCTCATTACAGAGAGATAACTGGTGGTGAGTTTAACCTAACGGTCACCACTTCTCAGGTGAAGGACAAGGTTGAGAAGGCAGGGCCTTCACATTGACCTCACCCCAAACAGGAATTGATCTTACTCTAAATAAAAACCGAAAGAACTGTGGATGTTGGAAATCAGAAACAAAAACAGAAATTTCTGGAAAATCTCAGCAGATCTGGCAACATCTGTGCAGAGAAAATAGAGTTCACGTTTCAGGTCCAGTGACCCTTCTTTAGGGCTCACTCCTCATGGTGAACCAGCTGTCCAGCCAAATGTGCTAACCAGTCCCCTTTATTGAAGTGTAGTCTCAGTTGTAATAAAGGAAACTTGGCATCTAGTCTGCAAACAATTAATTCCCATAAATAATAATGTGACAGTGACAAGACAATCTTTTCTATTATACTGTTTGGGATAAATTATTACCCAGGCTGTCTGCATGGATTTCCTCCAGGTGCTTCAGTTTCCTCCAACCGTCCAAAGATGTGCAGGTTAGATGGGTTATTCATGGGAAAGGCAGGATTACAGGGATAGGGTGGAGGGGGTGGGTCCGGGGGGGATGCTTTTCGGAGGTTCAGTGTGGACTCAATGGCACATTTCTACATTACTCCTGTAATCAGTGCACTGAGCAGTGAAGGTGAAAGTGCTGGGCACCTTCTTCACTTAACTGCCTGTGTGTGACTCCACTTTCGAGGAACTGGGAACCTGCATCTCGGGGGCTCTTTGTTCAGCAGCACTCCCCAGGACCCTACCGTTAAGTGTGTAGGCCTTGTCCTGATTTGCCTTGCTGGGATGCAGCACCTCGATTTGTCTAGGTTGGACTCCATTTGCCAATCCTTGGCTCATCTGATCAAAGTCCCGTTATACTTCTTCACTGTCCCTTACACATTTTGGTGCCATCTGCAAACTTACTAACCATTCCTCCAACAGTCACATCCAAATCATTTATATAAATGGCAAAAAGCTGTTGACCCAGCACTGATCCTTGCGGCATACCATTGGTCACAGGCCTCCAGTTCAAAAAGCTACCCTCCACCACCATCCTCTAACTCCTACCTGCAAGCCAATTTTGTATCTGAGAGGCTAGCTCTCCCTGGATTCTATGTGATCTAACTTTACTAACCAGTCTACCATGAGGAACCCTGTTGAACACCTCGCCAAAGTACATACAGAAACATTCACCGCTCTGTCTTCATCAATCTTCTTTGTCAATTCTTCAAAAATCGAGTTAGTGAGACATGATTTCCCACGCACAAAACCATGTTGACTAGCCCTAAGAAGTCTTTGCCTTTCCAAATACATGTAAATCCTGTCCCTCAAAATCCCATCCAACAACCTACTCTCCTTTGACATCAGGCTCACCGGTCTATAGTTCTCTAGCCTTTTCTCACCACTTTTCTTAAAAAATGGCACCATATTAGCCCCCCTCCAGTCTTCCAGCACTTCACCCATGGTTACCAATGATACAAATATCCCAGCAAGGGGCCCACTAATCACTTCCCTAGCTTCCCTCAAAGTTCTGGGATATAGCTGATCGGGTCCTGGGGATTTATCCACCTTTATGTGTTTTAAG